GTCCTCAGGACTGCAGCTCCCGCACCTTGCACTAGGAGCTTTCAGCTGCAGACTAATGGGCTCAAGGCTGAACTGGGCTCTCAGGGCTCACAGGAAAGAGGATCTGTCTAAATTTTTCTCCCTTCACAGCCACATCTGTATGGTTTCCAGCAGGAGCCTGCTGAGCTGCCTGCAGCCCCCAGCTCATCCCTGCTACCCAGCACCACCACGGACATGAAATGGTCAGAAATGAGGAAGGGGCACACACTTCTAGTTTCATAGCAGCAGTTAGCAGAGATCTCCAGCCAGCAGAGGCTTTTGACAGACTTCAGATGCCCCAGCCCACTATTTCAATACATTTCTTCTTAATTGCCTGGGATCTACAGCCTTCACTGCAAGCAATGCTTCCTAGAGAAGCATCTCCACTGCCATGCAGCCTTCCACATACCACTATATCCCAGTGCACTGCTGTATGCTACACTGCTTTGCAAAGAGGGCTGTCACTGATTTCGACCTTTCCTGGTAACAAAGGAACCCCCCAGCAGAAAGCCAGTGCTTTGTCTCAGCTTTGATTGACAAGTCAATGGGAAAATGTAACATCACTGAAAAGCTTAAAAGAATTTGCTAAGAACTACATCTGATAGAAATCTGTCAATTAAGAAGAAAGAACATTAAACTGCTTCTGATTTTTGTTTAAACTTCCCAGGCTGCCAGAACCGATGTATCTTTTCTTGCTTTAATCTGAGACATGACAAAATCTGAAATATATGACGAAATATATTTGATATTTTTATACAGCATATGTTACATGTGTACATATGTATTTGCTAAGAAATGAAAAATCACACAGAAGACCAGAGAGAGAAAGATTATACTCAGTCTTTGAATAAGCTGGATACTTTCAAGCACTGGCATGAGTTGTTTCATTGCATATGAATTACAAAAAAGGCCGTAACTTATCTCAGAGCTGGGCATTCGGCATTTATATCTGGAAGCAAAGAGATGTCTGATTTTTAGCAGAAGAGAAGAAAAACAGCCCATGAATCCAATAAGCATGAACATTTTGAAAAAAATAACAACTGGTTGACAAACTATATAACTGATGAAGTAATGTGAGATGATAGCTTATCTGAAGACAGGAGCAAAGCGGGAAATAAACAGTCAATTTGCTTTTTCCTTGTTCTCTCGCTTTTTACAAGGACTTTAAACATTTCCATTTGGAGTTTTGTTAATTCTATCTTTCCTTTCCTTTGCTGCAAGACACACGTTTTCCTTAGGCCACCTGGCAGATCCATGTGGTTTCACTGGGGAAGAAAACAATACATAGGGCTGAATCCAGCAAGTTCTGCTTCAGTATCACTCTCACTTTAAGCACTGAGATTCTGCACTGTCTTCCTGATTTACAGCCATGCCTTAAGCATCCAGCTCCAAATGACAATAGCAAAACGCACTGTATTCTTAAAATCTGTCAAGATTTTAGACAAAGAAGTTAAACTTGTATGTTACTTATCACTTCACTGTTCTTTGAGAATGCCTGTGCAACCCTGCTAGGCAAGGTATAGTCAAAGCTTTTCCCCTTTCCCCTAGCATATTAATTGCTTTAAATACAATTGTTACTTTTGGATTGTTAGCCTTAGCTCCCTAAGCTCTTGTGTTTGAACCATGAAAAGCATTACACTGAGGAAAAACACTAAGACACATTAAAGTACAATTATGTGGCATGAAGTAGCCCTCAAAAAAGGTACAACATGGGATTTCATATTTATTATCAGTTGCAATTCACATCTGCTCTATTCATCAAAAAGGGGGATGGAAAAGATACCACTGTTGACTGCTAGTTTTTCAAAATCAACTGGGACTTCACTTGATCTGTTTCTGCATTACAGTAATTTTTACCTATAGTAAATTGTAACTCAGTAATTCCATTGGTATATGAATCAACAGCTACAATAAACCCTTCAAATACCTTATCTGACAAGGGCACAAATGGCAGTAATTTCTGAATTTCTTTCGGTTTCACAAAGTGTTATCAAATAGCCTGCTATTTGCATAATCATTTTGTTTAAAAAAAGATACGTGGTGAGGATTTAACTCCAAGATGAAAAGAGTGAGAAACTACCACAATCTCCAATGAATTGGCATTTCACCCAAATGCAAGCCAGAAATTAGGAGAAACTTTTTCTCTCAGAGGGTGGTCAGGCACTGGAACGGCTGCCCAGGGAGGTGGTGGAGTCGCCATCCCTGGCAGTGTTCAAGAGGCGCCTGGATGAGGAGCTACGAGATATGGTTCAGTAGCTTGTGGTACTAATAGGAATGGGAGGGGGGTTGGACTAGATGATCTTGTAGGTCGTTTCCAACTTTGCGATTCTGTGTTTCTATGAAATGGGGAAGACTAGCATACAGATGATGTGTAACGTGCTAGACTCAGCCTGCTCCGTGCTGGAAGGGCTGGGCTGCTTCCAGCCACAGGCACACGAAGGCTCGCTGAGGCAGCAGCAATTCCACTTGCTCCAGAAAGTGTGGAAGTGCTGAGCTAAGGTGCAACCTGGGGAAAAATAAATGCTGTTGGTTGGAACGTGGCTGTAGCTAACAGTATGCCACTGTAGATAACAGTATGCCAAATCAACCCAGCAGATGGTTATCCCAATTTTCAAAAATGTACACTGTGACAAGTCAGAGACAGAGGGCTGACAGGCCCAGGCCCTCTGTTACAGAGATGCTACAAGGCTAGAGCTTGGTTTCATAGCTAGGAAATGCTATTGGTGTTTCAGTCTCAGCACAGCTGCCTCTTACCAAGAGTACATTTTTTTTCTGTGCAGTTTAGCAATATTAGTTAAGTGGAGGAAGATGAGTGGGACGTAGACACACTAAATCAGCTCTGATGGATATTCTGTGTGTTGCTTTGTTCTCTGCTTCGTTTCTGCATGTGAGATATGCAAGTGTTGCTTAAAATTCTGTTGCTAATCTCAAATACTTAGGGGAATACAAAGATGTTACTTTGTCACTGTTTCACTGCTTAGATTCCAACACACCTATGGCTCATAAAAAGAATACCAGGATTCTGTATCACTCTTCTCCTACACAGCCTACACACGCTAATGGCTCTTTAAAATCCAGATTTAATTGGCTTTTCAGTGCCAGTTTTTATTTGTGTGTTAATACCACAACTGAAAAAAAAAACTCAAGAAGAAGAAAAAAAAACAACTACATGTGTTTGATGATATATGTGAAAGCCTTAGATATTTAGCAACTCTTTGATGCTTTGATCTCTGAAGAAATCTTACTAAAATTATGATCAAAGGAATTCATATTATTCCAAGTACTTAAGAACGAACAATCTTAGGGCAATAATCAATATTCTGTTTAATCCTTTACCCTTGGAATACATTATTGCTAAGCACCTCGATCTGATGGTAGTTACATTTACTTAAAGATGATATTCTCATAAAAAAGAATTAGAAGTAACAGAAAGCAATATTTCCAACTTAGATGAAGAGATACGAAGAATTCAGTTTTACTCTTCTAACTAATAGGTGTATTTTGAAGGTATTTTTTAAGTGTACATAAGAAAGTTGGTATGCAGCTAATTATAATGAGACTGTTCTGATTTTCTTTTTCTACAACAGACAAAGCATTTCCAATACATAGCTACTTTTAATTCAATCTAACTATTTTCTGTTTGTGTTTATAGAGGATGATTACACAGACGGATATATCTAATATTTATAAAGTAAATTAACATTCTATTTGATAACATACAAAGGCAGATAAATAATGAATTACCCTTTTCATCAGTCTAACCACATAATGTCTATTTCACCACAATATCAAGTACCACATCACCCTCGTTGCTGCAATCCCCTATGGCAAGTTAAAGCCGTGCAATACAAAGGATCCCTGAACTGCAGACTACAGAACATAAAAGACAATCCAGATTTAATAGAAACACCAATTACAGGTTATGTATTTACCACTTGTTGCTGATGAGAAGTAAAAGAGGGCTGTAATAATAATAAGAAGAAGTAACAATAAGAGCAAATAAGAAATCAAACCACGACTCCCTTCTCACACTCATGATCTTAAGAAATCCCAACATTCTGACTAAGCCATGCCTCCTCCCATTTTAATTGAGCAGACTATTTTTCTTCCTGATCATCCCACCCACAAAGGTTGCCTTTAATCTTCCAGCTCTTTTTTTAGAAAAAGGGCTCCATCACTCCGTAACGGTGAAGGATTATGAGTAGATTCATGTGCAGACATATCTGACTGTGAACGCACTGTTGAAAGCATTCTTCCAAGCTGACAAAGAAAACACGCCTACTTTAAATGAAAATCAATCTCTGCTAAATCTGTTAGCTCCAGCTCATTTGGAGTGGCACTGCTGTAAGAGCTCACAGCGCTGTGTTGAAGCTGTAACATCTCATAGCTGTGCCTTTAGCTTCAAAAGCCTGCAGATCCATGGGGACTAGCAGACGACAGAGGCAGACAGAGGTTAATCATGCATCTGACAAACTCAGTGATTCTTTTGGTGTATCATGATGTTTTCAAAGGGGCATAGCTGATACATTTGGGAGTGCCTTTTGTCCTGATTTAAGTTCTATGCAGTTCAGTTATTGCACAGTTAACAGATCTGTTTTGTCTTCTCATCTGTTTACATCTACGCCACAAAGCTGCTCAACCAAGGAGAAACACCTCCAAAACAATTCCACAGGGCTAAGAAACAGAACTTGACTCTTGTGAACTGAGGGACTCAGGAGATGCTCAGTGGAACTCCAGACAGGACAGTGAACTGAATGCTATGGGACAACAGCCAGGAATTACAGCAACTTCCAGGGAAATAATTTTGTCTCATTATCTATAAATCTATAATCCAGCTGACACAAGACAATCTCTGGCTGCCTTTGTTATCAGGCCTCTTCAGGGCTCTCTTAGGGCTCTGGGAAATTTAGGTACCATTCATCTGGCTTCAGCTCTGCCATCAGATCTGGTGGTAAAATGCTTTAATCTCTAAGGTTACTTACATGATTAAAGTTCTGAAGCTTATCAATCAAATTGCTGATGAGTGGGTCTAGTCCTCTGACTTTCAGTTCTGGGTTATTAATTTGAGCCTTCAGTCCACTGGAAACAACTCTGCTGGTATAACTGAAAAAAAAGCAGAAAATATCACTGATTGGAACCATCAGAAGTAAAAATCACATGAATAAAAACTTCCAAAAGTAAATATTCTGGAGATGGTAATAGAAAATTGTAATGAATACTTATGCATTTAAATACACCAAGGGAGAACAAAATTAGTTTCTCTGTGGTATCATCAGATTATTCAAACCATAAATGAACATCAATTCTACAAGCCACAGAGATTACTTCCATTTCTAATATAAGTGGGATGGTTCAATCTTTACTGCCATCCCACCAACATCCGCTTCTGATGTTATGGGCAAACATTAAAAAAAATAAAAAAAATAGGAAGCATTACTTTCGGAACAGCCCTCGTAGTTTGGCACTCGTTTGTCACCAAACAGATGAGAGATGCTTGCACTACCCGTTAGTTCCCACACCCAGCTCTCAGACAGTGCCTGCGAGGAGCCCACCAGATGCCCAGCTGCACCTTTACCAACTGAGCAGTTATCAGTCGGCTCCTTTGGACAAATGCCAGAAAAAAGGTCCTGCCACATCTATCACTTAGGTCATACCTACATACTTCAATACACCAGCTGTTCACCAGTTGGTGCTTCAGTAAAACCAAGTTATGCTGAAGCCAAGGGCGGCATTTCAAAGTGGAAAAATTACCTAAATCCTTTTTCTTTCTTTGGTGAAGAGACACCTTGATCTCCAAATATACTTGTCTAATCCTGATTTCACTTAGGACAAACCATCAATTTTATGAACACTGCTGGCAAAGCATACTGGGTATACTGTTGTTTAATAAGAGAAAGGACTGAACCAGGGCCACCTTTTCAGTAAAATGAATAAATCTCACTGCTTGGGAAAAAAAAAAGACAAACAAATAGTTTAAACAAAGAATTGAGGAAAAAAACAACATTTTTTCACTAATGGCGAGACAGTACTTCTAAAAGGACAAACATTAAGGAAAACCTATTTCAGTAAGTTTATATTTTTATGTTCAGAGAGCTTTTTAAAGGAAATGGACTAAGTTTTCTTTGTGTAAGTCATAAGAACATAAACTAATCCAGAAGCATAAACTTCCACGATGGAATGGCATGTGCAAAATGATGGCCAGGTTCTCATCTTCCAAGCAGGCTCTGACAGCTGAACAAAGGTCCCCAGGAAGAACACAGATAAAGGATTAATTTCAAGTCAAGACTGGTTTAAATTGTATCAACCCACTTTACCGAATCACTTGGACAACACAGAAAGCCTGCCTTTTTCTGAAGACACAGGAAGGTATCTTTGTAAAAATACCTTTATCCACTGACCAGGAAATTTGCTGAACATTCCTCATTCTTCGTCAGATGAAAATACATGCTTGTCACTGCAGATGTACAGAGACACCTAATAAGGCTTTCTGAGATCATCTTATCGTGGTACAGAATAAACTTAGATGAATGGATCAGCTCATGGACTCTACCAGCCTTTCAGTGATCCTCTGTGTGTGTTACTTTCTTATCAGAAACTCATCAACAGCAGTGAAGATAAAGGCTTTGCCTTTCCATTGCTCTTGACTGCTCACCGTTTAACCCCTGGTTAAAGCTATACAAGGATTCGGGAGCACAAATTGTGTGCTCCTCTATTCCACCAGTTATAGGGATCGACGAGTTACTAAATATCACGGACCAATGGATTAATACCTGGCTCTGAGCCTGATGTGCCTGGCAGGGGTTTGGGTTTTTTGACCTCTGCTCTGTTTGCACGAGACAAGCTTCTCCCACCGGTGGAAAGGGGTCTTAAGACGGGAGTTGGGAAGGTTCATTGATAGAGCTTTAAACTAGGTATGAAGGGGGGTGCGGGTGTAACTGGGGGCATTAGAATGGAGCCTGTCTGTGATTTCCCAGTGCTTGTGGGAAGGGGATGTGCTAGTAAGATCCCACAGTCTTGTGCCTTGGTGAAGGAGGAGGACGACTTACCCTTTTGTAGGAAGAACACCAGGATTGGGGTAAGGTTGGTGGCTGTGGAAACACCTGAGTATGGTCATGAGGGTATTAGGACTACTGCCACTCAAAAGGAGGTCCAGCTCAGGTGCCCTAACGCACACAGCATGGGTAATAAACAGGAGGAGCTGAAGGCCACTTTGCAGTCAGAAAACTACGATATGGTTGCCATCATGGAAACGTGGTGGAATGACTTGCACAGCTGGAGTGCTGTGATGGATGGCTACCAACTTTTCAGAAGAGACAGGCTAGGCAGGAAAGGCGGTGGTGTAGCCCTCTATGTTAAGAAAGAATGTGAATGTATGGGAATTTATGATGGTGATGATAGGGTTGAGAGCTTATGAGTCTGAATAAAAATGAAGGCCAATAAGACTGATATTTTGTGGGGGTCTGCTACAACCAGGATGAAGAAGTGGACAAGATACTTCATAGACAGTTGGGTGAGGTCTCAAGGTCACTCCCCCTTGTTCTTGTGGGGGCTTCAACATCTGCTGGATTCATAATGCAGCAGATAGGGAACAATCCTGGAGGTTCCTAGAGTGAGTGGGAGATAACTTCCTGACACAGCTGGTGAGGGAGACAACGGGGGGAAGCAAAATTCTGGACCTGTTTTTTGTTAACAGAGAAGGTCTTGTGGGGGATGTAAAGATTGGAGGCCATCTGGGTCACAGTGATCATGAGATGCTAGATTTCTTGATCCTTATTGAACCATGGAAAGGAGTCAGCAGAATTGCCAGCTTGGACTTCTGAAGGACAGTCTTTAGGACCTCCTTAGGACCATGGTTGAGAGGGTCCTTTGGGAGGTAGTTTTGGAGAGCGTAGGAGCGCAGGAAGGCTGGGAATACTTTAAGGAAGTTATTTTAAAGGTGCAGGAGCTGAACATCCCCAACTCACAGAAGACGAGCCAATGGGCAAGGAGGCTGGACTGGCTGAACAGAGATTTGACTGGGATTCAAGAACAAAAGAAAATTTATGGTCTCTGGAAGAGTAGGCAAGCTATTTATAATGATTACAGGTACATAGTGAAGCTGTGCAGGAAGAAAATAAGAAATGCCAAAGCCCAGCTAGAACTGAACCTAGCCACTACAACAACAAAAAATATTCCTATAAATACATCAACAGCAAAAGGAGGGCTAGGGAGAATCTCCATGCCTTGCTGGACGCCGAGGGCAACTTGGTGACCAAGGATCAGGATAAGGCTGGGATACTTAATGCCTTCTTTGCCTCAGTCTTTAATTGTTACTCCCTGGAAACACAGTCCCCGGCGCTGGTAGATAGGGATGGGGAACAGAACAGACCTTGCATGATCCATGAGGAGATGGTTTTGGACCTGATCCGAACACAACTGTTTTGTATGAATGAGTCTATAGTCCACCAAGACAAAGGAGATACTCATATGCTGTAAGTTCTACCAGTGTTTAGGAATCAGCTTTAAAGCTCTAGAGATGCACATAAATTATACAAGGATAGTTTCACTGCCATATTGCTTGCAATTACAATTACAATGTAGATATCCTAAATTTCAGATGTCAGAGAAAGCATGCATGAATTGTGTGAATTGTATATAATTTTCTCATCCCCTCAGTCCAGTACAGCATTAGTACAGCAGTCACTGAACACCCAACTGCTAATGAGAGGCTCCAAAACAGCACTAGCCTAGTGCTGGTCTGGAACACAACCTGCAGGACAGCTATGCTCTAAAAAGCAACTGTAGACTTTTAGCAGCGGTGACATGGATGTATTCTGCTTTCCAAATGATGCAAAGAGAGGCAAAAGACTAACTTTCAGAACACAGCAAAATCAGCTTTTGGGTTTCTAAAACTCTGCTAGCCATGATGTCATATCTATAATAAAATCAATCTCAGAAAGAACTAAATGATGAACTAAAAAATGATGAGTTCAGAGAGGGTGGGCTACAATTCTTGAGAACAGACAGCACAGAACTGAAGAAGAGTCATACAGCCAATGAGAAGGGAGAATTCCTCCGGACCATTACAGCCGGGAATCAAGACTGCATTAGGAAAAGACAGCACATCCATCTGACCCAAACGGCTACCTCGCAGACAATGAATCTTTCTGCCAGCTCTGTAGCATGCTGATATAGCTTGGAATGAACACTAAACATTTCCTGAAAGATAATCTGATTACTTCACTTCTTTGCACTATCTAAAGCATTATTTTTTTGACATCAGATCCTGAATTACTGGAAACGTACATTAAGTGAGAGCAGAAATTGGCTAGCTTTATTTAATAACCTGCAATTTAAATGAAATATTATAGTACAGAATTGTTAACTCTGGTTACTGCTCAAGTACTTGATTCATACATGACTCAGAGATGTCAGTAGAAATGGTCAGGAAAGTCATATAAAAATACTGAAATACTGCCCCTGGAACAATCTTGAATGTAATCATTACATTAGAGCTCAAGGAACAATATGTGCAGACAGAATTCTCTTCCAGATCTTTGAGACTCACACTAACGTTATTCCACTAATCATTCAAGTAAAACAATGATGCCTTAAAAGTAAAAAAAAAAAAAAAAAAAAAAAAAAAAAAAAAAAAGCAAATGACAAAGGAATTCAGCTCTCAAACCATAATTTACATTATTTCCAAAGAATAGCTTCAATTATTAAAATCCCAGCATGGTTTGGGTTGCAAAGGCCCACAGTGCTCATCCAGTTCCAACCCCCTGCTGTGTGCAGGTCACCAACCAGCAGCCCAGGCTGCCCAGAGCCACATCCAGCCTGGCTTTGAATGCCTGCAGGGATGGGGCATCCACAGCCTCCTTGGGCAACCTGTTTCAGTGCCTCACCACCCCCTGGGGGAAAAACTTCCTCCTAATATCCAACCTAAACCTCCCCTGTCTCGGTTTAAAACCATTCCCCTTGTCCCATCACCGTCCACCCTCACAAACAGCCGTTCCCCCTCCTGTTCATACACTCCCTTCAAGCACTGGAAGGCCACAATGAGGTCTCCCCACAGCCTTCTCTTCTCCAAGCTAAACAAGCCCAGTTCCCTCAACCTTTCCTCA